ACTAGGGTCCCCTATTTTCTGAAACTCCCATTTAGCTACAGGAGCAGGCGTCTGCCTTGCTTTGGCTGACAAGGAAGGATGCTATGCACTGCTCATACTAAAAGATCAAGCAAAGACAAGCCGATCAAATCAACCCTCAGTCCCACAAGGGCGCGGGCAAAAGACTGTTGAGGTTTTTGCTATTTCATCACAAGAAATTGCCAGATTTTTGTGACCCACACTGCTGGCTTTGTTCTCAACTACATGGGATCCCACCTTCAGCTCGGCTTTAAGCTCCTGAACCCCGAACCCAATAAACCCCAAAGCCCGACTTCCAAACCAGGTTGGAAAGTCTAAGCTAGAAACACCCAGCCTCACACTGGAAGACCTCCGACCCAAGACAGACACACCAATAATGGTTTAGGGTCTGGGGTTTAGGGATACTAGCAGAAACACTACACCTGTATCGACCTGGACTACGCAGGATTATTGATTGGCGCAGCTCGTCCATCTCCGAAACAAAGGACTTCGATAATCAGAACCAGGCTTTGGTGTATATTCTCGCAGAGTGATAATATCAAGAATCAAAATATACTCTTAATCATAGCGAACACATAAGTCACATGAGCAGCAGTACTTGCAGTTATTCATGCTCCATCGTAGCCGTGACTTGCTGCCTCAAACCTCCCTAAACCCTAAACCCTAAACCCTGAACCCCGAACCCTAAACCCTAAACCCTAAGCTGCTTCAAACCTCAAAAGCCCATGTTACCCAGCTCCACCTTCTCGAGAATGAGGCACCACATCCTTCCGAGGATTCAGGGTTTATGGCTTAGGGTTTAAGGGTTTTGGGTTTAGGATTTAAGGTTTAGGGTTTAGGGTTTTAGGGTTTAGGGTTTAGCGTTTTGCGCAGGATTCAAAGCACATGCATCATAATGCAAGCCCCTGATTAACGAAGCCCTTCTTTGAAAGCCCGAAACGCAGGATCCCTAAACCCTACACCTCTCGGTTCTCCGAGTCCAGGGTTTTGGGGTTTGCATGGGATATAGTATGACAAAACCCTAGGTTGAATAGGATCCTCTTAAGTGCCCCATCAGGGAAATATCAAATGTCCCAAAGGCCTTCCTGGACCCTGATATGGAGTTTGCAGGGGCCCCACCAAAAAACGGTCAGGCGCTATGCTAAGGGGAAACCCCCGATCCTCACCCCCGAGGATACTAAACTTGATCCCAGAGCCCCCAACCTGAACCTCCAGATCCCTAAACTCGGACGTAAAGATGCCGAACATACGGGCCTTATGGTTAGAATCGGGTTTTGGGGGGTCAACACAGGGGCATTATAGCTAGAGTCGGGTTTAGGGGTACTACCCTGAACCGTAAACCCAGAGCCCTAAAGCCCTAAACCCTACAATCCTAAACTCTACCTAAACCCTACAATCCTAAACCCTATAACTGTAATGTAGGGGCCTTAATAATTAGAATAGGGTGTTGGGGCCCATTATACCTATAATTACAATAAGGAACATCCCAAAATACTATAAATAATTATCCCTAAACCTAAACCCTAAAGTAGAAACGTCAAAGCTGGAACATCGTTATCCTTATGCCCATGAAGAAAAGTATATGGGATCCTAGCACGAATAATCCTAAATGCATGTTCCAACTTTCTGGGGTTCACTGTGCCGTTTAGGGCATTGGGTTTAGGGTGCACCCCTAATCTGCTGTTGAGGTTCTCGTTTCCATGTGGCTGCGAGAAGTAGGGCTCCGCCTCATCCGCCCACCAGTGGGCATGTGCCTCAACAACCAGGCGGCTTAGGGTGGGGCCTTAGAGGATGTGCGGCTTGCAGGGATGGAGCGGCTATAGGGCTTAATTAATTGTGTTGTTCAGGGTGTAGTGGCAAGGCGCTTTGGGATTCGGGCTTAGAGAGATTTTGATGCTTTAGGGCTGAGGGTGTTATAATGGGGTGTGTGGTTCACTAAGCCAAAATTGTGCTGAGGGTTTACGCGCTGTCACAAGGCTATTTGTGCAACTAGCGGTGTTGGCTTTCTGCACATGCCATTGGCTAAGCCCCTGGCACAGGGGATGTACTCGTCCACGACAACGTCCACCATCTGGATGCAAAGCAGGCTTCTGCACCCTAAACACTACTTGGAGGATCATGGGACTTAGTAAGTAGGGTTATAAGTACCTTAATTGAAGTTATAAGTAATTATTAGTATAGTTACCTTACTTATAACCCTAGTTACTACGTCCCATGATCCTTTAAGTAAGCCCGAGATTGCAAGCGAACCCTTCAAGGACATGAGGTGCTATGCAGAGCCAATGCCTATAGATACAACACCCTAAACCCTAAACCTTACAGTGAACCCTGAACCCAGCCCTAAAACTGATACCCGGAACTCGAAACCCTAAGACAAAAGCTGACCTGCCCGCAGCGGTAGTCGAAGAGCTGCAGCACGAATCGGCCGTCAGTTTGGGAGCCATCGACCTTAAAAACCTGTCGCTGAGCGGGCGGAAAGGGGTTAGGATGATGGTTAGGTTAAGGATTCAGGATTCAGAGTCTGCAGTTTCAGGTTTTAGAAGGTGGCGCCCTAAGCCCTTTAAGCCCTACGCTTTAAGTGGTGCGGCTTCCGATTCAGTGGGCTACGCATGTGGTCATGAGATTCGGGTTTAGGGTTTCGAGTCTAGGGTAGCGGATGTAAATGGTTGAGAGTGAAGCGTTCAGGATTGCTTCTGGGACTTCTTGTTCCAGAAACAGCACCCAGCACCGAAACCCGCGACAAGGCATCCTAAGCTCTACGTATAGTCGCCATCCCATCGTGTGACGCGGAATGGCATGTCGTTGGCTGGGCCTAATGGAGGCGCCGGGTTTCAGACTTAAGCAGGAAGCATGTCAAATAACAACACAAGCAGTCGATGCAACGCAACTCTGAAGGCTACAAAAGCCTTGGAACCCATACTCAAGACAATAGCCCCTTCAGCTTGGGCTTATAAACATGCGAGAAACTTTTTAGGAACACACAGCACCTTGAACCCTAAACCCTGAACCCTAAATCCGACACCCTAAACCAAAACCCCTAAACCCTGAATCCTACACCCCACACCCTACATGCCTGAACCCTAAACCCTAAACCAAAGACCTCAAGCCCTAGACCCTAAACCCCTAAACCCTAAACCCCCAAACCCCTAATGCCTGAACCCCAAACCCTAGACCCTAAATGTTGCACGGGGGTCAGGCTTTAGGGTTTAGTTTAGGGT